CCAGTAAGGGGTTAAGCTGAGAGCACCAAGCTGCTGCCTCCCCGGCTGAAGGATTGATTTGATCATTCTTCAGGGATTCCCTCTGGTATGAGTCACTGCTCAGACAGATTCCCCACGCAAGGAGGCCAGGATAATGCCATTCCTCCAGAGACTACAACAGCTGAGAGCGAGCCCTGAAGACGAAGAGCTTGGGACTCACGCTTGGAAAAACATTCAGTGGACCACAATGCACCAGGCAGACTTAAAGAAATCGTTCAGACAGAAGGAGTGGGGGGGGGGGAAAAAGGCAAACAAAAAGTGTTCTCAAACTCTTTGCGTTGACCAATTAAGTATGCAGACTAGCATGAATCAGATGAGCTCCCGGAGACAGCCTGCCAGCTTGGGGACTCTGTCCAAGCGAGCGCTGAAGACATGAGCTCATGTAATATAATATTTAAATTTTAAGTCACAGAATAAAATAAAAGATACACTCTCCAAGTGCAGCGATTCCTGTGATCTATCACTTTGTAATAGCTGCGTTTGGCTGCTGCCCACTAGGAACGTGACTGACGTTTCGAATTCACAAACAAAAGTGGCAACAGCAGCAAACCTGATGAATGTCTCCAGCTAATCACAAAAGTTCATAACCAGCTCTCTAAGAGAAAGAGGAACCACGGTCCCTCTCTTGACCTACTTTAATAGACGTGCAAGAGCTGAAAGGGAAAGAAACGCCACGCGCCGGTTTTCCAAAGCCAAGTCCAGTAATACTTGTTCACTGAACATTAAATACAGTGACCCTGCTCAAAAATTGAGCTGGACCACCTTGCACCGCGCCTGTTTGGTTCCAACACGCCAAGCTGTCGGGCAACACAACTAACTCATCACAGAAGCTCTAGAAATTGCTCAGCCCAGACCAGCCGGTAGCGTTGCTTTTTGTGTGTCATTCCCAGCACGGTGCTTTTCCCGGTGGTGCTTTCACGTAGCCAACCCATGCACCCAAGGAGTTCACCCCAGGAGTTTTTCAGGGTGACAGGCAAGGCCCTTCCATCATTTTCTTCCCCATCAGCACACCCAGCATGCAGCTGTACACTCCTCCATCTCTCTCAATGTCTAAAAAATGTCGTTCAAATAAATTGTTTTCTACCTATATTTTGTCTTTGAGCAGCCTCAAATTCCTTTTGCTCGAGAGAGGCATCTCTCTGGTTAAGAAGTCCAAGGATGGCTCCGTTTTGCATTTTTGTAATTTAAAGCTATACAGGGAACATCTACTTTTGGTGTACTTAATGCCAAGAGAGGCAGCGTTCAAATCCACACTGCGTACCTGTTGGTGAGCAGCATCACTATCCTTTGGGATAGTGCATCACAGAATTCTTTGGGATGCGATACTTCAAAATTCTTCCAACTTAATAAAGGAAGAGGAGAGAAAATAAGTGTGAAGGAAAGCACCTTCTAACGTGGCTTCCTTCGGGTAATGAGACAGATTGAGGACTTTGCTCCTGACGTGTCACACTAACCCACTTCTGCGCAGTGAAGGAAGCTTAAATACGAAGTAGACAGTCGTGTTCCTCCCTCGCGCTACGCAAAGAGCAGCGTTCAGGTTTTTTAACTGCAATGCCACCTTTTTTTTAACTTTCCTAAGAAACAAGAAGGGTGTTCTGCTCGTCTCACGGCCACAGCCCGACCGCACATGGCACAGTACTTGGAGGCCACAGGAACGGCGCTGCCCGGCTCTCGCCAAGGAGCCGCAGCATCACCGGTCACTTTTGGTGACTTAAAACCTCACCAGCCCAGGCCTCCACCGGGGAATTTCAGGGAAATCTGCTCTT